GGGGGGGTCATCCCTATTTGCAGATGAGACTGGGGCTCAGGGAGGGACAGACATGCCAAGGTCTTGTAGCAAATGGGTGAGAAGAGGATCTCAGGCCTAGCATGCAAGCTTCTGCCTCAGTGCTCTTCCAGCTTTTTTAAGGCCCCCTTATACTTCCCCGGGAGCTCTGGTGGTGTAGTACCTAAGGCATTTGACTGCTAATCAGAAGGCCGGTAGTTTGAACCCACCATTCACTCCTTGGAAGGCAAGTTGGGCAATCTACTTCCGCAGTGATACCGCCTCGAAAACCCAAGGAGGGGTCGCTATGAGTCGGATCCCATTCCACAGCAGTGCGTTTGGTTTTTTTGGTTTACACGTCCCCCATAACTTACCAGCCCATTCTGAATCAGGTTGCTGTGGCTTGAGGCCTCAGGCAGGAGATAATGGGGCACTCTGTGGGCTCAAGGGTGGATCTGAGGTTAGACCAGCAGGGGGACCTCCCACAGGAGGAAGACTGCTTTGTGGGACTAGGAGGGGAAGTGATGATGAGGCCAGAGTGAGGAGCCAGATCTGAGAAAGACTGTGGGACAGTGGGCATCAAAGTGATTGGCTGGCACTGGGCACTAGGGGGACATGCAGTGGTGCCAATGCCAGGTGGTCAGTGGGGTGAGGTGGCATGTGCAGAACAGGGACAGGGTTTGGGGGTGAGAGGGGTGCTTTAGAAGCCCAAGCAATAGCCTGTGCTTGGGACAGAGGACACAGGAGACTTTGAGCACGCAGCTGGAGGACAGAAAGGTGACTCGTGTGTCCAGGGTCGCCTGTACACGACCTGCTTGTTCGTGCCTCAGTACCCTGATCTGCCTGCCACACCTGAGATCTGCTCAGTGCAGCGTACGGGGGGACTCAGTGAACAGACACGGCCACTGATGGTCTGACCTTCTAGCTGCCTCATTCCATTCTCCCCCAGGGGCGGACACTGGCACCAGAGACCCCTCCCCATGCTCCCGATGAGGCCTGTGGCACTGGGGTGCCCCGGCCCAACGCCCCAGGAGGACAAAAGGCCCGTCACAGTGAAGCTGGAAGACTCTGAGGAGGAGGGCGAAGCTGCTCCATGGGACCCTGGCCCTGAGGCCGCCCGTCTGAGATTCCGGCATTTCCGCTACCAGGAGGCGGCGGGGCCCCACGAGGCCCTGGCCCGGCTGCGTGAGCTGTGCCGCCAGTGGCTGCGGCCCGAGGCGCGCTCCAAGGAGCAGATGCTGGAGCTGCTGGTGCTGGAGCAGTTCCTGGGCGCCCTGCCCCCCGAGATCCAGGCCTGCGTGTGGGGGCAGCAGCCCGGCAGCCCCGAGGAGGCCGTGGCCCTGGTCGAGGGGCTGTGCCCAGAGCAAGACGGCCCACGGAGATGGGTGAGTCTTCCGCCCTGGGTGGAGGGCTCAGGCCCAGGAACAGTGTCAGGGCACTGCTGGCTCTGTCTCTGTGAGCGGTGCTAGGCTCACACAGATGCTCTCCTGCAGGTGCAACCTCTGGCAGAGTCTGCAGGGCCAGGCCTAGGTTACTTGGAGTCATGAGGCTGTGCGAAGGGCTGGGGTGTGGGGATGACTCCTGGGCAGTCCGTCTGGGAGGCCACAAGATGGCGTCAGCAGCTCAGTGGAAGAGTGACGGCAGCTTGTTCCTTGGCTCCCTACCCAGGCCCTGGGGGAGGTGGGTTCTTGGAGGACCCCTACGTCCTGAAGTGAGGTGAGCACCCACGAGCTTCCTGTGGCAAAGCCCATCCCTGCCTGGGTCCCTCATGCCTGGCACCTCCCCAGGTTACAGTCCAGGTGCAAGGCCAGGAGGTGCTATCAGAGAAGATGGAGCCTTCCAGCTTCCAGCCTCAGTCTCCAGAGCCTGAGCGAGAGACGCCCCCTGGGGACATGCAGGTGAAGGAGGAGCCTGAGGTCACAGAGGGCCCAGGTGAGGGCAAGCAGGGTGAGCATGGACCAAAGCTAGCTTTGGGTGACAGGGCCTGTACTGGGGTGGGCCTGGCCTGAGCAGCGGAGTCCACTCAGCCAGGCCCATTGGACGAGTGGTTCCCTGCTGCTAGTCCCCAGAGCCCACTCCAGCAAGTGCCCACTCCCTTGGGAGGCATCAGTCAGCAGCTGAGAAGCAGGCAGTTCAGGCTGGGGTGTGGATCCTGCCAGTGTCAGGGAGGGTACGCTCCTCCCTCCCTCCCCCTGCTCACCTTTGGGCAGGGCACAGAAGCCAACTGCCCAGTCTCTCTAGTATTCCTACAATGGACCCTCATGCAGTTGCCCTCCCCCTTGTTCCCACTGGTCCCCCTGCAAGGGGTGCAGGAGAGCCCACCTGTCCCACCACAGCTCTACCCAGTGGCCTTCCAGGGGACTCCGCCCCACACTAGCCCCCAGCCCTGGCCTCCCCAGTGCCAATGCCAAGCTCACACCCCGGCTTCCCTCTGCATGGACCCTGTGGCCATCATATCCCTTCTCAAGGGAGCTTCTTGGTTCTCTCCCCCTGGATGGGACATCCATGCCACAGTTATTCCTTCCCTCCACTTCTGGGACATCACTGACCCCACCCTTCCTCCTCAGCTCTCCTGGAGTCTGAGCCCCCCGCTGCCCCCCAGAAGGCCATGCCTGCCCTCCTGCCTCAGGAAGCCCAGGTGAGCCCCCAAGGCCAGCCATGCCCTTCTTCCCTGCCCCAGGAGTCACAGAGGATGGGGGTTGGTTAGGGACCTCCCTGGGCCCAGCCCAGCCAGCCAAGGATGAACTGTCACCACTGTGTCATTTCAGGGCTGCGGGACAGCGTTGGACCAGGCCTCTCCCCAGAGGGAAGCTGGGCCTGAGGGGCCCTCATGGAGGGAACACCCAGGGGCCCTGTGGCAGGAAGAAGCTGGGGGCATCTTCTCCCGGGGTGAGTTCTAATGGGGCACAGTGGGACTGTACCATGTCTACTCCTAGCCCTGCTCAGGTGCCCCGTATTTCCTGATTCACCCCAGCGTCTTCTGTTCTCAACACCCAACCCCTTCACTGACCCCACAGGCCCTCCAGCCACTATTTCTGCCATAGTAAAACTGCGCAAAGCCAAGACTGTTCCCCATGTCCATGTTCTCTCCCTGCCCCAGGAACCTTGCATGGCCCCAGACTCTGGGCTTGCATCCTGCTGACTGGGGAGTGAGGTGTGTGGGACTGGGCAAGCACAGAACAGGTTCCTAAACAGGGTGAGTGGGTGGACAGGAGCAACTCTGGAACAGGTTTGAAATCAGGTAAGGTCAGAGCAACTTAGAAGATAAGGCAGGTGGGTAGGAGCCACCTTGACCCAGGATGGGGATGATGGAGACTGGGCCAAGACAGAGAAGGTACAAAACAGGGCATGTGCTCCTCTGCTGCTTCCTGGATTCTGGGACTCCTCTTTCTTGATCTGCTTCTCATTCGGGTTCACCTCCTAAGTGGAGGTGAGATTCTGAGATATATCTGAAACCCATTTGTCTCATCCACACATTACATGGATGGATGAAGAATTCTTTTTATCGACTCAATCCCACACATTTGTGTCACCTTTGCTGGTGACCTTTCAGTGTGAAGTTCACATCTGTCAGTTCAGAACAGTTCCCTGGAATTATTTCTTGGGTTTCTTTCTCGTTGGCCTATTTTCTCTTTGGGAACAACTGTGACCTGGCTGTAAGGTCTCTGGGATGAATCCTCCAATGTCCTTTTCATTCTTTTGTCTTTCTCTGCTTTCCAGGAAGTCACCTCAATTTTATCTTCTAGACCTTCTGTTGAGATTTTCATTTCTGCTAGCAGAGGTTTAATTTTGAAGAACACATCTTCCATGGACATTCCTTTTTACTGGAGCTTCCTGTTGTTCTGTCCATCGTAATGCCTTTCAGGATTTCTCTGAGGATAGTAGGCATTTAATTCTGCTGTGTTTGCATCTCTCAATATGGTCTCTGTTTCCTCCAACTTGTGCTTATATTTAAGAGAGGAACACCAAAAATCTGGTTGCAGCTCTGAGCAGATGGGTGAGCGGCTTGTCAGCTGTGACAACAAGGCTGAGCTGGGAGGGACATGGATCACTTCCCAAAGAGATCCACCTTGAGGACCCTAAGAAGCAGCTGGAATGTGAATGGGCACTCTTGGGGGATCCATAGGGTGATCTGACTGGAATGTCTTGGGGTAGACCCACACTTTATCTTTAGATCCTTTCTCTTGGGTGGGTCTGAGTCATCCAAGAAGGTGCTTCTATCCTCCTGCCAGCATCCCAGGAACCAAGTGGAGGAGAGGCTAACATTGCAGCACCAGCGTGACTGTTCACATAACCCCTGTGTGGCTCGGTACAGTCTCTGACTGTCAGCCCAGTCTGCCACCAGGAAGGAAAAGGGCTGTGAAGCACAGCAGTGTTCACATGTAGCCAGCACAATTTGCTCTGGATTCAGCGAGCAGAGCTGAGTGGTGCAGCAGTCCTACTCGGCCTCTGCACCTGAAACAGCCTCCCCAGCCTGTTTCATGCTTGCTCTTCACCCACATGTCCAGAGCTCTGGGCCCCTCTCACTCCTGAACTTTTAGAGGGTTCTGGGGGTAAAACAGGTTGACTTTCTTTTTTTTGTGTCCAGATAAAGAGTAGTTTCACAAACAAAACAACAGTTATATTGGCAAAGATGTACAGTCAACAGGGACCATTTTTTGCATGTCTATAGATTACACATTTGCTTCCATAGATGGGGCAGCTTTTACTGTAACCCAAACCCACTGCCATCAGGTCATTTCTAACTCAGCAACTCTACAGGACAAAGTAGAAGTGCCTTACAGCATTTCCAAGACTGTCAATCTTTAGGAAGCAAGGCCCAAAGCAAACCCACTGCTAGGGAGTCTATTCCAGCTCACAGCACTCCTGGAAGACAAAGTATAACTGCCCCATAGGATTTCCAAGGCTGTCAATCTACAAGCTGACTGCTTCAGCTTTCTCCGGCTGAGTGGCTGAGGGGTTCCAAATGCCAAACATTCTGGTTAGCAGCCAAGTGCTGTAATCACTACCCCACCAGAGCTCCTCTTTACCAGTTAGGACTTTTTCACCCCATCACAGACATAGTTATAGAAGTCATCATCAGATTTGATGAAATACCCAGAGGCCTTGGCTTCCACTTGGTGAATGACCACACCAATCTGTCTGGAGCTGTCTTCTTGGTATAGTCCACATGTTTACCTATCAGGCCACCTACAATTTCTCCTGACTCCCTCTATGCTGAAAGAGACTCCATGTGTGGCATTATGTGGAGGTCACCTTCTTTATAATCATCTAAAAGTTGGTGTATGTTCAAGATAGGATCTTTCTCAAAGGTAATATAAAACCAGGCTTTCATGACAGGTGATTGGGCTAAGGCCATCCCCCTCCATTCATCCTTAGAACCATGCTCATCCTCAAACTTATGTTCCACAGCTTTGACTATTACAGTGTTTGCAGGGTTTGCAGCACTGACTTCAGATTACGCCACCCTGTCAGAAACGATGTTAAAAGACAAAACTCTTTTATCTCTGTGAAGTTCCAGTCCACAGACACTGTCAGTTCCATCATATTTCACCCAACAGAGTGTTGTAGGCACCTCATCCAGAATGGGTCCTTTCCACTGGGTGATGGGCTCACCATCTTCCGTCCTTCCATCCATGTGCAATTCTGCACCCGATGATGTTCCTGTGGGGTTGGGATGAACGTCTGGCCCTCTGCTGCTTTGGAGAGACTTTTTTCTTCATCATGTTTGCACACCCAGGGGCCAGACCCATGGCTGCTCTGGTTTGTTGCCTTTGGACCTCCTGTGGGTTGAGGGTGTTCATGCCCAAATCAGACACCTTGCTGCCACCAGTGCTGTGAGCCTGTAGTGAAAGAGGATCTGCAGGCCAGGAGCTAGATGCTTGCAAGGGATAGGAGGGGAGGATCCTTAGGCTAGGAGAGAGAAAAGGTGGCAAAGAGGATGGCAGCTGTGTGGTCAGTGCTGGGTTTGCGTGTTCTCCTCGGTCTTTCTGCTGGCACAGAGGCCCCTCTGCCACAGTTGGGTTCCCACCTGCCACTGAGGCCACTGCATCCCCCCCCCCCTTTTTTTTTTTTTGTTTTAGCTTTCCCTACTGCTGCCTTACTATTTATTTTCTCACATCTACTAAACAAATTGGGAGCTCTGGTGGTGTAATGCCTAAAGCATAGACTGCTAACCAGGAGGCTGGAGGTTCAAACCCACCAGTCACTGAGGAGACAGAAGGAAGGTTGGGCAATCTACTTCCATAGTGATACCGCCTCAGAAACTACCTTTCCAGAGTAGAAGATTTCAGAGTTGTTTTCTTTCCTCTTCTCCCCACCTCTGTGTGTTCTATGCTTTAAGGAAAGGAAAATTAAAAACATGGTTTTAGTTTTTAATGGGGTTTCAGGATGGAGCATGTATCAAAAATTTAGATAGATGCCACTGTTACCTAGAGGTTCCCACCTGCTATGTTTTTTATTACAGGTAGTCCCTGTGTTACAAATGTCCAATTTGTGTACAACTCATAGTTATAAGCCAATTCCATAAAACTTACTACGTGCATGTCAAAACATTGTTATTATTATTGTATTACTATGTTAAAGACGTTTTAGTGTATCTGGAAGTGTTCCTTTAATGCTTTTTATGCACAGAAAGGTACACTATATATACACTAAGACAAACATTTGACTGACATTAGATTCCAGCTGTACCTAACTATTCCAGCTTAAGTACAAATTCGATTTAAAAATACACTTAAGAATGGAACTCATTCGTAATCTAGGGACTGCCTATATTAAGGATCCTAACTCCCTTTTTCACAATGTCCTTGTTTCAAAGATACTAACCTCTTCTTGTAGGATTTGGAAATACTTTAGGGTCCTCCTTTGAGATTAGCTATTAGCTCTATTTTCTTGAGTGTGAAATCTCCCACTGGTTGTACACTGTCTAGAGTCCTTTTCAGATTGGTCAGTTAGCTCAGTTATACATTTTCCCATGGGCTATACTGAAAACTGCCTGCCCTCCCAGCCAAAGGGTTAGGTTAGTATTCCTGGCTGAGTCTGGGCTGGTGGACTGGGTTAACCCAGCTACCATTCTTGGCCCCAGCTTCATGACTGGGCCAGCTTCTATGCCCTGGTTTTCAAAGCCTTAGGGCCTCTATTGAGTTCACTGTACCAAGTTCTTGGTTCTCAAACCTCACTGACTAACCTTTCTTGTTTTGGAGGTATCTAGGGTATTTTCTCAAGACCTTGTATTTTGTCTGTCATTTCTCTGTGTTGGAGCAGAGGTGGAATCCACATGCCCTTTCTGCCACCTCAGCTTACCCCACATGGCTAACAATACCTTTCTGCTTGAATCTGCTTCTCTTTTAGTTCACAACCCACAGTCTCTTGACTTTCTCTAAGCCCCAACTCCACCACTAACTCTAGCACAAGCTTCTCAGTGATGCTCTGAGGACCTTCATACATAGGTCATTTGGCACATGGGGGAACATGACTGTTATAGAAATACCTAGAAATGGAATTGCTGGGTCAAAGTGCAGAGGGCGTTTGTCATTTTGGGTTTTGCCACATTGGCCTCACATTTACACTAGCCATCAATGCACCTCAGTGCTGAGTCCCCGCAATGTAGGCTTAGAAATAGCAGGTAAGTTTTTCTTATTAGGAGGGGCTGAGCATATTTTGTGGGATTTAAGCATTAGTTACACCTCCTTTCCTATTCACATCTTTTGCCCATGTTTCTGTTACACCATCAGTCTTTCTTGCTGAAATCATTTGGAGCTCTTTATTAATGAGGTTAATTAGCCCTTTGCTTCTGGTGAGTTTTTCAGTTTGTCTTTGATAGTTTGACATCATTTTCTCAATGCATAAATGCTGGACTTTGATGCTGTAGGGTTTATCTGACATTTGGCACCTTGTAAGATTCCCATCACCCACTGCATCCCCTCTCTCCTTTCTCAGTCTCTGGTCTCCGTGATTGAAAATCCTTTGGCTCCCTCATCCTTCAGCCCTGCTTTTCAGTTCCTCTTGCTGACTCCCCCTCCCTCACCCAGTCTCCAATGCTGGCGTGCTCATAGTTTGCCTGGGGACCTGGTTTCTCTCCTCTGTTGGCATGCATGTTGGACTGCATGGAGGCCCAGGACTGTGCATGCCATGTATACTCCAAGGTGCCCATGCTCGCATCTTCTCGTGAACCCCCAACTCCTGCACCTGCCCCTTTTCTCTCAGGTACCCCACATGCATCTCAAGTACTGCAAGTCCCAAACCTCAAACCAGAGTCCTGGGAAACAGCCTGCATTGGGGGCCTCCCCTCACCCCACCCCATCCTGCTGGCTCCACCTCCAGCGTCCCTCAGACCCGCCTACTTCTGTACAGTGGCAGAGACCACCACCACCCCACTGGACAGTGGCTGGGCAGACCCTGACCCTCCCAGAAGGAGGAATTTTGTGAACCTGAGTCAGATCCAGAGTGCTTGGCCCTAGGTTTTCACACAGCCCACTCCTCATAAATGACTCTGTCCTATTATCACATCTGCAAAGAGACCTACATGGAAAAGAGCCCCTGTCCCTGCCCTTGTCGCCTCTGCTCCCCTGAGATGTGTCTAGTTCACACTGCACCAGAAGACTTAGACGTCTGAACACAGTAGGCACTCTGTGACGAGAGAATAAGTGCATCCCTTTGTGCCACACAGGGTTTGCTCTTCGAATGGACACTGTCCCCACAGGCCCAGTCACCGTGAGCCCCCATCTCCATGTCCCCTGGGACCTCGGAGTGGCCGGTCTCACAGGCAGGATCCACTCACCATCCCGGGAAGGTGGCCTCGTACATGCACTCGTGCTCCCCAGTGACCCAGGAGGTGAACAGGAGCCTGTGGGCCCCGTACTCCTGCCGCTCGCCACCCGATGGCGGGCCCCTAGGGGCCGGGGCCGAGGGCGCCCCAGCACGGGCGCCGGCGCGGTGCGGGGCGGCCGCTGCGACGTGTGCAGCAAGGTGTTCAGCCAACGCAGCAACTTGCTGCGGCACCAGAAGATCCACACCGGCGAGCGGCCGTTCGTGTGCGCCGAGTGCGGCCGCAGCTTCAGCCGCAGCTCACACCTGTTGCGCCACCAGCTCACGCACACCGAGGAGCGGCCGTTCGTGTGCGGTGACTGCGGCCAGGGCTTCGCGCGCAGCGCACGCCTGGAGGAGCACCGGCGCGTGCACACGGGCGAGCAGCCCTTCCGCTGCCCCGAGTGCGGCCAGAGCTTCCGGCAGCGCTCCAACCTGCTGCAGCACCAGCGCATCCACGGCGACCCCCCGGGCCCGGGCGCCGCGCCCCCCGCGCCCCCCAGCGCGCCCGAGCCCCAGGGCCCCTTCCCCTGCAGCGAGTGCCGCGAGAGCTTCGCGCGGCGCGCCGTGCTGCTGGAGCACCAGGCGGTGCACACAGGCGACAAGTCCTTCGGCTGCGTGGAGTGTGGCGAGCGCTTTGGCCGCCGCTCGGTGCTGCTGCAACACCGGCGCGTGCACAGCGGGGAGCGGCCCTTCGCCTGCCCCGAGTGCGGCCAGAGCTTCCGGCAGCGCTCCAACCTCACACAGCACCGGCGCATCCACACGGGCGAGCGGCCCTTCGCCTGCCCCGAGTGCGGCAAGGCCTTCCGCCAGCGGCCCACGCTCACGCAGCACCTGCGCGTGCACACGGGCGAGAAGCCCTTCGCCTGCCCCGAGTGCGGCCAGCGCTTCAGCCAGCGCCTCAAGCTCACGCGCCACCAGCGGGCGCACACGGGCGAGAAGCCCTACCACTGCGGCGAGTGTGGCCTGGGCTTCACGCAGGTCTCCCGGCTCACGGAGCACCAGCGCATCCACACCGGCGAGCGGCCCTTCGCCTGCCCCGAGTGCGGCCAGAGCTTCCGGCAGCACGCCAACCTCACACAGCACCGGCGCATCCACACTGGCGAGCGGCCCTACCCGTGCCCCGAGTGCGGCAAGGCCTTCCGTCAGCGGCCCACGCTCACGCAGCACCTGCGCACCCACCGGCGCGAGAAGCCCTTCGCCTGCCAGGACTGTGGCCGCCGCTTCCACCAGAGTACCAAGCTCATCCAGCACCAGCGTGTCCACAGTGCAGAGTAACGCAGACTAGCAAGCAAGGCTCTCCTCTCAGCCCCCAGACACCTGCCTCACGGGGTGGCTGCGAGGCCAGCTGTCGCCCGGGTACACGCATAGGTACAAACAAGCCAGCCCAGGGCCTGGTCCCAATAGGTGCTCAATCCAGACAAACGAAAATTGGGTCTCCAGCCCCGCGGTTCCTCTGAGGGCCATAGAGGTGAAGGTGAAGCTGGCTCCTACTGTCGCCTGTCAAGTCTCTGCGGTCTGCCTGGTACCAGGGCCCCCCAGGTGCAGTTCTAGCTTAAGAAGAGTGAACAGCCGAGCAGTAGCGGGGCAGGGAGGGAGGTGACGGAGCAGTCCAGCTTCCCCCCTCCACCTGGGCACCAATCATCAGTCTCCCAGACCCGTAGAGGAGGGTAGCACACCTGCTGAGAGTCTGCAAGTGCCAGATATGGTGCCACTTCTGGCCATCATCAGTGAGGGGCCAGTTGCAAGACAGAGCCACACAAGTGTTTCCACAGTGAATTTCCTATCAAGACTCGCCATCGGTGGGTAACTGAAAAGGGTAAAAAGAAAAACCACACTAAGCTGTTATGGGTCAGAACTGCAGGGAACAGCTACACTCCTAAGGCTGGAGAAACAAAGGGAACTATTGTAACTTAGAATCTTTCATGAACTCCTCATAAAGCTCAATCTCAGGCCCCTGGGGAAGAGGAGGCCCCATGGACCTGGGATGAGACCCTTGAGAACAGGGTGCTGGTGTGGGTGTCTCTGAGGGGCCTGATGAACCCAGTTCTGGGAGGTGTGGAGAGAGCCTGGCAAGCAACTATGTCCCTGCAAGGACCTGCTGTGGCCAGTGGGAGGAGGCATTCCTGGCTGCCTTCCCCCTTTCCATCCCCTGTAGTGCCCTGACCCAATGAAAAGTTGCTGGTAAAAGAGGGGTGTGTTTTTGGCATTGCTGCCCTGTGTTGGGATGCCGAGGTGGCCAGGGCTGGAGCACAGAGGCAGGAGCTTAACAGGCAGCCCAGGACTGAAGCCAGGGGACACTGGAGCAGTTCCAACCATGGTGACATCGCACGTGAGCTCTTTGAGACCTCTGAGCCCCCATCTTCACCCCAAAGGGTGGTTGAACACTGACGCTGGGACAATCAGGGCACTGAGCCTTCAGTCCCTGCAGCCCTGGGCAAGGGGAGAAGGGGCCTTTGAGGGGCAAGGGGAGGCTCCAGACAGCCCTGAGAGTCAACGGTGCGAACAGAGGAGAAAGGCCGAGAGAAGAGAGAGGCAGCTGCAATCAGTCCAAGGACCCGAGGCCGCAAGGGGCGCCCAGGCGCGCGTGGGGCAGGGTCCGAGGAGGCGGCGGCCCCACCGAGGTGAGAACGGAGTTACTAAGGGTGAGAAGCATGGGGGTGGTTCCCCCAGTTGAGCCTCACGGGCCAGGGTCCGACCACACCACTGCCGCCCCCGGGACCACTTGGACTAGGTCTCACACAATGATCCTTTTGGCGACGGCGCGTCGCCACGATGACGGGAGGCGATGCACTCCCGAAGCTGCCTTCAGACACGGAAGAGCTGAGCCGTCCAGCCTCGGCCGCCCAACTCGTACGGGCTCTCGGCCCCGGCGGGGCCTCGCAGCGCGTCTCACCCACCCAACGGTTTCCTGGACGAGCTGCGGTTGCCGTGGTGACGGCCCGAGGTCGCAGAACCCTGCGCCATTTCCTCCCGCCCTCTGAGGGACACTGAGCTGTGATTGGAGGATGGCCCGTACACACCGCCCCGCCCCTGACAGCAAGCAAAGGACGCCGAAGGCCGCAGTGCGCCTGCGCCGGAGAGCGAGGCGGCGACATGCCGGCTCCTTCCTGAACACTCACGGACAAGCTCCACAGTGCTTACTGCTGCCACAATACATGTGTTATTGGTTGACTTCTGCCAAAATAGCCAACGGTTTGTGATGGAGCGCAGAGAGTACTCGACTCCCACATTCGATTGGCAGCGCCCCCAATCTCGGTGGGCACTATCACCTTGTTTCTGTATGTGGCCTCCGTAAATAAAACATCGTCTCATTCACACCTGCCGCTCTCTTCACACGTGCAAGTGAAGATGCACTACGTTCGCGTACGAGGGCGGATGGCCTCACGCCGAGCGAGGCGGCGACCATCTGCCCCTTTCAAATATGGCGGGGAGACCTATCCCCGCCCACGAGCATCTCCGGAAGTGTCCTCCGGACTGCCGACCTCATTTACGGCCCCCATGAACGGAAATGCCCGAGCCCAGCCGAAGGAATCCGAACTCCAAACCCCATCCCTGAGCAAAGCGAGTCGGCCGAGGCAACGGCGGCGGCCGCGCACGCGCAGAGCCCACCCGGGCGGGAAGAGCAGAAGCGGGGAGGCGGCGGAAATACCCGAAGTGGAGAGGCGCCCGAGGCCGTTGCCGACCTCCGCTTCGAACCCGCTGCTGCCGCCGGAGCCAAGCCTCCTCCAAGACACGTCCGCTGCCACCCCGGCCGCTGCCTCCTCCTTCCACTCCAAACCACAGCCCCCTCGCGAAAGGAGAGAGCGAGCGAGCGAGCGGTGCGGCACAAGGAGCACCGCGTCCGCAGCCGCGGCCGGGCCTGAGGAGACCTAAAAGGGCAAGAGGGAGGAGGGAGCGGCCCGGTGGGGGCGGGGCCTAGCGCAGCCCGAGAACAGCCGAGTCGACCCGAGCGCTCCCGAGGAGCCTGACCAGGCCAGAGCCGGACTACGGGAGCCGAGGCGGGCCGCGCGGTGGGCGCGGAGCGGCGCGGCGAGCCGGGCGGGCAGCGGCAGCGGCGGAGGAG